TCTAAGAGGGGGACCACAAACCAGTAGTTGTTACTTGTGCCTGGAAAACCAGTCCATCCCCCCCGAGCACTTGGGAACTGACCCTACCCAGCTTAGGCAGGCACCCCTCTCATTCGCCTCTACCCCCTGGGTTCTGCAGGACCAGTCCAGCACCCTGCAGACCCTGTAGGAACAGAACCCACTCATGGACAGCTCCAGGGGTCAATCAGTGGTTTCAGACTAATGGCAGAATGACAAACACAGAGCAGCAGCACAATTATCTGGGTTGAAATGGCAGCAAACCCAGGAACTCACCAGTTCTTGTGTGAGGTGTGGGATGCAGATACTGGACAGTGCATGGAGTGGTGCAATGCTGTTGCTGGGGACACTAGTACAAGGTTGAGATTGAGGACTGGGGCAGGCAGAAGGAAGGTGAGCTGCAGGCTGAGGAGGAAACAGTGCTCTGTGTTCACCTCCATTTATGCTGAAGGCCATACTACGGTCTCGGCCAAACAACTTCAATTTCTGGGCATATTTGGCACACTGCAATGCTTTGTCCTGGTCTCAGGTCATTGGTCAGGGCTGGAAACCCTCAGCTGATGGCCTGAGCAGTGTTCTGGTTTAGCTTGGTGTAACTTGTCTTTCTACCTGTGTCGGCATTTGCTAGTCACCTGTGTCTTCCTCTTTGGAGGAATGATCTTTAGGAAGTTCTGCAGCACAAATCTTCTCCCTTCATCAACCCATCACAGCATGCTTGCATTTAATGCTGCTGCTCAACATTCTTTCCTCTCAGAGCTGTGAGTAGACTCTCCACCTGGAGGAGAGCTGTTCACCTCGTGAAGAAAACGCCAGGAGCAGACGAACTGCGGCTAAATGTGGACCCAATGGCCATGACTAGTTGCCACAGGCCAGAGGTCACTTTTGGTCTTGCTGCTGGGGAGGTTGAGCTCCATGAAGTTCACATTCCTCTTCCCAGGGAGCACCAGCGTGGTCATGCCAGGAGCCTGTCCTAGGTGTGGGGAAGCATAGTGGGGGCAAGAGACGGGTGTCCTCCCCTGTGGGACTTGACACTGGTGTGGAGCAGGAGCTGCAGGGAGCCTTCAACCGGGCTGGAGTGTCCCCAAGGGGGTGCCGGGGACCATGGGGGAGACCAAGGGCCCAGAGCCTCACAGGGCTGGGGCTGGAGGGAAGCACAGGGCGCTAGCCATGGAGTCATGGCAGAGCCCATGTCCCGTCGTGT